ATCTAAGTTTTTGATTCATTTTATATCATGGTTTGATCCAGGTTTAGTTGGAAATGTGTGTGTGTACTTAACTTCATTTTAGAATTTTGAATTATCTAGATTTTTTGTTCATTTTATATCATGGTCTAATCCATATTTAGTTGGCAAAAGTCCAAACAAACAATATTTTCATTGGACTTAACCTTATTTTAGAAGTTCGTATTATCTAGGCTTTTTTTAACTTGTTGTAGCCAACAACTTATGACAAGTCATAATCAACTTGACTTAAACCCCATTGATGAAACATAAGGCATGAACTTGAAGTTTTGAGTATCGATTAAATTTAGGTCTTTATAATTTGATCCAATCATGGCTTGATCCAAACTCGACTAACAAAAAAAACTTATGTAAATTGAAATTTCATTGACTTTGTACATCATTTTTGAAGCTCAAATTGAATTTGAGTTTTTTTATTGAATCTACCATAACTCGTGATTTGCATTAAGCTTATGACTAACTTGACCTAAATCTTCTCAATGAAATATCGGCTTTAAACTTTGAGCATAATTTAAATCTAAATATTTTTATTCCAAAATGAGTTAAGACTATAAAAAACTTATACAAATTATACCCTCATCGAACTTGGATCAAATTTTAAAAATCCCTAATTAAATTGTGACTATTATAGCCTACTAGTTTCATTGAGGTCGCATTTCCCAAATCAAACTTATTGGTTGAATACTAGGGTTTAGAATTTGAATTATTTAAGATTAATTAATTTTGGATCTTATTTCAGATTAAAAATTGTTTGTTCCAATTAATTTCAACAATTTTTCAAGCACATACTAAGCTCTCTTCGTCTTCTTCATCTTTTTTCTCTTCAAACCATTCTTGATTTGTCCTATATCCTTGTCATCTCCTTCTTATATAGTCATGCTTCTCAAAGTGCAAATCCTCTAAAGTAAAATGTTAAAGTATTTGATAAATTAATAAGATAATTAATCACATAACATTTAAACTATAGAATTAGCCACACTATATCCATTTTTTTATATGCACTCATATTATTTCTAAACTTAAATATATTTTTAGTTGTTGTAAAATGCACAAATTTTGATTCTGGTCCTTGTAAAATATTTTTATTTTGATTTTCATCCTTCTAAAATATAAAATCATTATTTTTGGTCCATGTGGAGAAAAGAAAGACATTAAAAGGTTGAATAATGTTTATAAAAAAACTCGCACTCCTTTAAACAATGAAATAGTAACAAAATCACAAGGATGCTTATGAAGAGTTAATAGACTGAACACAAGGAAATTTATACTGGTTCATCTCAATTTTAAGACTATATCCAATTTTCAATCCAATTAGATTGAGTTCCACTATCTTTATCAAAGATACAAGTATTCTTTTTCCAAGTCACATCTAACTCAAACCCAAGTGTTCTTTTACTTGTCTGTTCAAGCAACTACCCAAGTATTCTTGTACATCAACCCTTTCTAGGCTTAAACAACTGAGTATTATTTTACATACAAATCTTTCTAGACTCAACCCGATAACAAACAGTTACACATGGGTAAGGTTTTACAAATGTTGCTTTGTCTTACAAACAAGACGTGATATAGCCAATTAAGCATAAAAAGCTTTACTAAAGAACGAATGTATAATAATTTGTACAAAGCATTCTCTTTTTCCTTTTGAGTGTCAAGCTTCTTATATAGTAGCCTTTATGAAGATGATCGTTGCAACACTAAGCATTGCTTGCAAGCTTGCTTCATCTGTCTTCATCTCTAGTTCCTTAAGGAGAGAAGTATCCATTGATGCATTAAATGTTTGCATTAAATGCATCTCACCAAAGAAGTCACTTTTTATCTGATTAGAGAGATTACTTAACATCTTTTAGGTGTCAAATGGATGAAGCAAAATGTGTGTCAACATTGTGCAATTCTAAAACAACTTTAATTGACCTTTTTCATGATTATAAGGATTCGTTTGTCTTATTTCTAACATAAAGCATGCCTCTATTCCTTTTCTGACATATTGTGAGTTCCAAGGAAGCTTGTAAGGTTCAATCTATTGAGGAAGCATTTAGACACATATCTTCATTGTTAGACATCATAAATAATATAGAATAAATGTTATTCTAACAATATGTTTCGTCTGGTTGAACAACATCTTACTATAAGTAGCATCTTACACTTCTTCTGATAGTGTTTCTTATAAAAAATATTTTCTCTTAAAAAAATCTTTCATTTGTTATCATTAAAACATGAAAGTTTAAGAAATCTAATATTATTTTTTTACTTTACAGTTTCCAATGATGTTTTTAAGTAAATAAATAACATTTACTTTAAGGACCTATACAAAAATTAGAGATGTCATTCACTATCATGGTGTCACTAATAGTTATGGGTAATATATATGAGATAGTCAATTAACCATTAATAAGGAAATAAGTAGTTAAAAATAATATATAATAATAGGAACTAAAAATAATAGTTTTAAATTTGACAAAAATGAAAAATAAAGAAAATTTTTTACAGAAATAAAAATAAAAACTTAACTCATTTTGTAGAAATTTAAAACATATTAAAAAATTATTTTTATTTCATTTAAAGAAAATATACATGAATTAACAAAAACAAATTACATAAAACATATTATATATATATACATGTCTGTATATATGTATGTTACAATTGAAAAAAATTATATATGTATAGTTATATTTTTAATTAGTTATTTTTTACTTCAATGAAATAGAAATAATATGAATGTATATAAAGAATGGATTTAGTGTGCCAGGTTCTATAGGTTAAATGTTACGTGAACCAATTATTTTGTTATTTTACTACACAATTTACCATTCTATTTCAGAGAATCTGCACGCTCCCCTTCATCCTCCTCGCCTATTAATTTTTTAAAGAAGTTTTTATAAAATAGATTTTAAAAGCAAAAACTTATCACTTTTTTTTTTTTTAAGGAAATCCTAACTTTTTCATTATTTTTTTTCCTCAATTTTCTTTGTCCATAGGGAGTCTGTTGAATTAACCGATTAACATTAACTTAACTCTCCCGATCAAACTATCACCCTTTGTAAACTAATTTAAATGAAAATTTCTTAGCAAAATTTTGTAAGATAAATGAGTGATGGTTCAATTCAGTGATAAGAGAAGTCGCCAAGTTTAAAAAGTACTTGCTTTTTAGAAGATTTCTACTCGATTAGTTCCTTTAGTTAAAAATTAAAACTTGTTAGCAATGTTTTTGTGCTTTCTAATGGTAAATTGGCAATTGAATAAACTGAAAACAAAGGAAAAGGAAATGTGTAGCGTCAATACATCCCACATTATTGAGGTTTACATGTCTGCAGACAATGCGTCGTGTCATTACAAAATTAGTTCAAAAAATTCACCCGTGTAGGACCTTAAAAATTGATAATGTTCACAGTCCTACTCCTAACTTCCAGATTTGGCTAATTTGTGGATTTTAAAAGTGTACCAATCGTTTCTGTATATCTCAATGTTATTTTCCACCCCAATAAAGATCACATGCAATCATATTTCTAAAATATCATAGGACTATTCTCGAAAGCTGAATCCATACAATTCATGGTCTTAGAATTTTGTTTCTTCTTTATTTAATAAGACATTCTAGAAAGTCTTCTTATTCTTCCAAACAATCAATAGAATGCATCTCTCTATGCCTATTCTTAATAGCTATATACATACACATACATATACATATAAGAATTATAATTATATTAGTATAACTTTTATTAAATATTACATCACTCAATTTTATATTAAATATAAATTTTATAAATTTAATTGTTAGATTAAAAGTTCATATCACTTTATATATCAAATTTTGTTAAAATTGAACAACAATTTGAAGGTAATCAAAATGTTCATATTTTAATATATTTTGAAATAAATATATTATGTCAATTTTGTTTTATAAGAATGAAGTATCAAATTATTTTGGATTAATATAAAATTTTGTATATATAATCTAAGAAATATAAACTTTCAATCTAACGGTTAAATTTTTAAAATATACATCTAATATAAAATTATTGAGCAGTGTAATACTTAATAAAAATTATACCGATATTATTATAACCTTACTTTTATATATTTAT